AGGCGGCGGGTCGGCAGGTGAGCAGGGCCGGGCGGGCAGTCGTGACCCAAACGCGCCGCCCCGGCGTCGACTCGTCGCAGCAGGCCGGGGGCTGGGGCGCGGGGCACCCCCGGGAACGAAGCTGGGGCCAGACCTTTATCCCCTCCGTGGCGCCGGGGCGGCGCCCCCTCCTGCTTTTTAAGCCCGCTCGGCGCTGGCTTGGAGTGCGCTTTAGGCTGTTTTCTGTATTTTGGGCCCACTGCATAGCCTGACCTGAAAGTTTCTTTAAAAAAAGAAAACCCCTCTTGTTTAGGGTTTGGGGAATAACTCAGAACTGCAGAAAATGTATGTCTGGGCGACTCTCCTGGGGCCAGAGAGGATTGACTTCATTGTGCATCAGTTTTCCCATCTGCTAAATGGGCATAGTAATAGTTGTCTTATAAGGCAAACTATATTTAAAACCCTTGCAGGTAAGTCCTCAGTATCTTGGAGCTTTTATCATTACTACTACTACAAGAAAGTCCTTGATTGAGCATGTTTTGTACGCCAGGGCCTGGGCAGATCGCCAGGGGTAAAGTGAATGAGACATCTTGTCCTCAGGGAACTCCACAGTTTTACAGTATAAGTAAGAATTCATTGCGATTCGAGCTATGGTTTTGGACATACAGGGGACTGTGAATGCATCAAGAAGGCAGTTAACCTAGATTTCAGGGAATGAAGCTAGGGAAGGTGGTCAAAGGGAGATTCTAGAAGAGGATGACTTCCAAAATGAGACATGAAGGTTGTCTGTGTATTGGCCACATGAGAGGCTGGTGAAGTGCACAGTGTTCCAGGCAGAGAGAGCCGCATGTGCAAAGCCCAAGGCATAGAGTGCCGGCTTATTGGGCCTCTGTAAGGATTTCATAGGCTAGGTAGAGACCCATTCCAAGAAGCTGAAGTGGTCTGGCTAGACGATGTTTGAGAGATAAGCAGGTGCCCCTTCTGAAAGACTTTCCTTGTATCTCCTTGTAAGTTTTAGCTTGGGGGTATTGGGGAGCCATCAAAGGATTTTAAGCAGGCAGTGAGTGTATGTTCATGTGTTTGATCAGAGGTATGGTTTCAGAAAGATCAGGGGTTTTTTTGTTCTCTCTTGGCCTTCATTCCTCCAATCTGTTTTGCACATTGTAGCCGTTCATTTATGGCGATTCAAAAAATATTGCTTAAAATATTTATTTACTGAGCATCTGCTATGTGCCAGGCACTGTGGGGGCAGTAAGGACTTAGATCCCTGCCCTCATCACATGCATTCCAAACATGTTCCAAGGTACATTTGTGGGGTACAGATATGAATCTGGTACAGCTGGAACTTAATGTTGGAAGAGATTTTTAAAAAAGAGAAGAAAAAGAAAAAAAGAAAGGCCTAGATCATTCAAGGCCACTGTGTTGCACACTCCTGGATGAAGAATTCACTTTGCCTATACTAAGAAGGAATGACCAGAGAAGTAGGAGGAAAACTAGGAGAATGTAGTGATGAAAGCCGAAGGAAGAGGTTAATTTTGCTGGATGCTGCTTAGGTTTCAAGTAAAAGAAGTTGAACATTAAAATGTGTCCTTCGGGTAAATAAATATGGAGGTCACTGGGGACCTAATTGAGCGGATTTGGTGAAATGGTGGGGGCGGAATCTAGAATATCGGCAGCTTCCAAAAGTTCAATGTAATATATCAGTGGGATGAGGAGAGAGTGGGATGTGAGAAAGTAAAGACAAAGTGTAGGCAGCTCACAGGAGTTTGGCTGTGAAGGGAGAGAGAGAGAGAAGGCTGGAGAGCGACTGGGGAATAAGGTGAAGTCTTAAGCACGAGAGAGAGAGAGACGTGAGCAGATTGAAAGGTTGATGGCAAAGAGCCAATAGAGAGGGGAGAGGCTGAGAAAATCCAGATGAAAGGGGCAAATCAATTGCACTACTTTGCTCAGAAGGGAAGAGTGGATGACATCCACAGCACAGATCTTTCACAAGGAGTCTGACAGCTTCTCCGGAAGCCAGGCAGTTGCCCACAAGGAGTGCATCGGTGTAATGCAGCGACAAAAAATATATAGGAGGTGTAAGTGTGGAGGAGAAGTTATATTTTCATTATCGTCAGCAATTGAACTAATATGTGTTGAGCACATTTCATGTACTAGTCTCCATTAGTAATGTGATCTTGACAACAGTCCTGTGAGATAGCTTCTCATTCCCAGTCTATGGATGAGAAAATTGAGGTGTAAAATGCATACCCTGGGTCATACAGGATTTGAATCCAGGTCTGCCTGAGCCCAAAGCTTTTACTCTTAATCACTATGTGGACGATATGATTGTCTACCTATGGTATGATGATCTGCTGAGAAGATTCAAGAGAATTAAGTTAAAAATAATTAGATGTAATCAGGTTAAGTAAACAAGCAGGTAGAACGGAGACAAAAAGCAGTAGCTTTATATAAGCACTAATAGTCACAAAATGTAATTGTAGGAGACATGAGAATAACAACATGAAAAATAAATACCTGGGAACAGACTTTCAAATAAATGTGCCCAGACTAGCTACATAGAGAACAAGAGTGGCTGGAAGGGAGGACGCTGGGTACAGATGGGTGTTTAGATAAGGAGGAGGTATTTTTGTTTGGGAAACTCAGGGGGCACGTAAAAAAAACAAAAACAAAACAAAAAAACCAGGTGTCTGTCATAAGACATAATGAGAAAATATGCAAGATGTTGACTATGATGTTTTTATTATCTGAAAAGCTGAAAACAGACTGCTTAAATTATGGTGCAGTCATATGATATATACTATCAGCCATTAAAAAAGAATGAGGTGGGAGCTCTCTCTCTATATATAGAGAAAGATGTTTACATCATATGGTTCAGTGTGAAAAGCTCATCACAGTACAGTGTGTTCTTATTTTTGTTTTTTTAAATGTATACATACACATTTACAGGAAAAATGTCTAGAAAGATTAGTTCTTTAAAAAAATTTTTTAAATTTTTAATTGTGGTAAAATGCCCATAACATAAAATTTACCACTTAAACATTTTTAAGTGTACAGTTCAGTACTGTTAAGGATATTCACATTGTTGTGCAACAGATCTCCAGAATTCTTTCTTCTTGTAAAACTGAAACTCTATATTATCCATTGAACAGTTTCCTCATTTCTCCCCCCGAATCCCTGACAACCATCCTTCTACTTTCTGTTTCTATGAATTTGACTACTCTAGATACTTTGTATAAATGGAATCATATAATATTTGTCTTTTTGTGACTGACTTATTTCACTTAGCGTAATGTCCTCAAAGTTCATCTGTGTTGTAGCCTGTCAGATTTCCTCTCTTTTTAAGGTTGAATAATATTTTATTGTAGGTATACGTACATGTTGTATATACATTGTATGTATAAACATTTTGTTTATCCATTCCACAGATGGGCACTTGGGTTTTTTCCACCTTTTGGCTGTTGTCAGTAATGGTGCTATGAACAGGAGTGTACTAGAAAGAGAAGTTCTGTGTGTCTGTGTCAGGAGATTATGGGGAGACTTTTATTCCTTTCCTTATTGCCTTATTTTCCTTTTTTTTATGAGCATGAATTGCTTTTATAATCAGAAAAAAGCAATAAGGATATGTCCTGTTTGGGGAGATGGGGGAGTAAAAGGTTAAAAAAAAAGGGGGGGCCTGATCTTGGGCAGTGGCAGTAGGAATGGAATGGAGAGGGCAGATTTGAGAGACATTTCAGGAGAATTAACTAGAAGGTATGGGAGGGGAGAGTGGAAGACTGGCCGTGCCAGTGGTGAGAAGGGACATCAGTCCTGGAGGGGCTTAGACTAGTGGGAGAAGGGAGGATGTCAGGCTGGAGAGCCACCTGAGCCTTTGTTCAGGAATTTGGACATTTTCCTGAAAGCAGAGGGAAGCCATTGAAAGGAAGGGAAATGACTAAATCAGAATTGCGTTATAGAAAAAGAGCACCCTGATTCCCTCCAA